CGTGGCAGGAAAAAAAAGTAAATGTTTTTTTTTTTTTTTTACAAAAAAAGGGGGAGGGTACTTTCAGTGAGCACTGCATTTTATTTATCAGACAGCTCACCTGTCCAGATTATTGAATCTATCTCTCCAGTTTGGGGCTCTCGTGACTTGTCCTGTTTCCTTATTGCACAGCTCAATACCATAGAAGTCCAACATGAGCTCGTATGACTTCAGCAGATTTTCCCTCGCTTTACTGTTTTCAAGGAACTCCTAAAGGAAAGGCAGGGTTTCTGTCAGAATATGCACTTTCTTTTAAAAATTTTATTTGGTAGCTTTTAGCAGTTTACCTTAATTTCTTCTTTTGTCAGTGTACTGGCTTTTGGGTTCACCCCTGGTTCTTGCAGTGGGAATAACCTTAGAAGAAAAAATGTAAAACATTTCAGAAGCAGGAACTGAACATGTCAGATCACAACTGTGATTACAGCGCAACTTACCACTGAATATAGTTGTGTGCATACTCCAGTTTCTCATAGTCTCCCTTCCATTTATCATGGAAATCATCTATGCGGAGATCTGATAACAAAAACAAAAAAAGCAGACATGTCAGATGGATGACAGATGTCAAGCTACTTACACAGATAATGATTAATCCTAATATGAGACTGAAAAATGTTTTACCGATGCAGATTTATACTGAAAAATAAATCACACACATTACACACCGTACAACCAACAAGCCCATGGCCTACTAGCTATAGACCTACCATCAGGTGAAGAGTACCCCTCTCCAAGGTAGAAGGACAGATTAGGCTTGTTATCCTGCTCAACATTAGAAAAAGGAAGTTCACAATACAATTGCACATAAGCACTTTAATGCATTTCAAATGAAGTGACATCTTAGTTATATAAAAGCACAGCCCATGCAAACTGCCAACATGTGTGTGTTCTTACATTCTGGTTACAGTGTTGCCTCATGAGCTGGAACAGTTGGTACATGTAAAAGAGAAATGTGAGCATGGATTATGATTTATTAAAATGTTTGTCATTGTACATCTGTAGGCCATAACATTATGACCACCTGTCTAATACTGTGTACACAGGAGTCAACGCAGCAGTTGGTTGACACTCGTGTCACTGTACAGCTCACTGTGCATCTTCACTGAATCTTTGCTTCAGATTCAGTGATGTTATTCAGATGTTTGCTGCTGTAGTTCAACCTCATCATCAGTGAGCGTTGTGTGTCCATGACCCTGTCACTAGTTTGCTCTCTGTCCTTCCTTAGACAGTGGTAGGTAGTGACCAGTGCAGACAGGAACACCCACCAAGACCTGCAGCATGGGAGACGCTCTGACCCAGTCATCTGCAATCACAGTCTGGCCCTTGTCAGAGTCACTCAGATCTTTTCTCTGGCCCGTTCTTCCTGCTTCCAACACACCAACTTCAAGGACTGAATGGTCACTTGCTGCTTCACCTGTCAGTGGTCATAATGCTATGGCTGATCGGTGTGGACGTGTGTGTAGGAGGATATGCACAGTCACACTGTGTGGACTTGACATCCTTATGGGGACAAAAAGCAAGTCCCTAAAATGTAAATCATTAAAATCTAGAGTGACAGTTTGAATTAGGGGTTAGACGAGTAGTGGTTATTGTTATGGTTGTGTGTGTGTGTGTGTAACATACACGGTAGTCATGCCTGTAGTTCTGCATGTCTCTTGCAGCACTTTCAAATCTGCTAAACTTGTACTGAAACACAGAAAATAACTTAAGTTTAGTTTACATCTTAAACATTTAGTAATTATAGCAGGTATACAGAAAAAAACTAACAAAAACAAAAAAATTGCTGAAAGTTTTGCCAAGTAACCCTCTGGGAAATGCAGGTTTCCCTGCTGGCCTCAAGTGAAAGCTTTCCTTTCCAGGAGTGCATACAGCAGACTATTGGTTGACTCACTCTTGTGGTCCCTGGTAGACGCCTAGTCGTCTTCGCTGGGCTCTCCTGGGGCTCCTCAACCTCCCAGGTTGAATCATAGCCGCAGTACAACTCATCTGTGGTGTCCACTCGGTACTCACGACTGTCAAAATCGTCTTCATCCAGACAGTCTGTGGAGGAGGCCTCAGGGTGCCCCTCATTTTGGTTTCTGCGATTCTTTCGCCAACCTATCGCAAAAACATTATCGAATAATGAGCCTAGTGCGCGGCGTACGAACCTGTCCACACGAGAACCAGCTCCAAACGAACTCACTACAGCTCCAAACGAGCGCACCAGCCAGCTGAGGCAACGCAACACGATATGGATCATGTCTGCATATGTCTGACTGCCTGTTAGTGTTAGTGTTAGTGTTGGTCTGTTTCACTTTCGTTTTGTTTCCAGTTTTGCTTACACAGAGCCGAAACCAGTGGTAACGCCCAGAAGTAACTTCTTCAGCAGGTGCTGGCTAATAAAACGTGCACAAATAGCAACGGTGACACAAACAGAAACATTTCTCCTTATTTCCTTCCTGTTGTGCTGTGACTGTAGTAAAAGCCTGTTGCCTTGTGTTTTTCTGCAGGTCAGAACAGTCTGCAGGTACAACTGGGCTGAATTTGGGGAAAATGTGCTCACGTTTTAGACGTAACAGACCATGGGTAACAGACGTTGTTTTAACAGAATTTAAATGGTTATTAAATTCAGTTAAAGTAAATTAAATGTAAGTGTTTGAGTAACCAAAACATCCACATGCTTTCACTTCCATCTGTGGCCAATATGTCGGTTAAAGGCCAGAGAGGTGACACTGGAGTGAGCTGAGTCACAATGACCAGAAAACTGATTTTCTGTTTTTTCTGGTGACAGTGGGGTAATAAATGTAAACACAAGTTGGCAAGGTTTGAAGTAAGACAATCATGCAAAGCTAAGATGACCTGCAGCCCACTGTTATTGTGAAACTTGCCCTGTTCCATATATTTAGCCTACACAGTGGCCTACTAGTTTAGGTTATTTAAATGCAGACATTTCTTTTTATTATTTGGTTACTTCTACTTTTTTATGTGCATATAACCATCCTTTGGATTATATAAAACTTACATGAATCTAATTGTATTTGAGTGCCATCAGAGTCTAAACACTTTTTCTTATTGGCTCTCCTCTTATCCAACAGTTGTGGGTATTCTGATATTTTTTTTTTAGAAGTGGGTATCATTAAGTTAAACAAGAAAATAAAACTGTGAGGAAACCCATAGATCATGGCCCCCTTTCTATTTGAACTAATAATAATTTATGAAAGGATCCTGTTATCAATAAATCTACTAGTTAAAATAAAAACTCATCATTCCAAAATGATTAACAATATCTAAATAATAAATCTATTTACCATAGCGCAAATTTTAGCTAAAAACAAACAAGAAAAAAATCAGCTGTGATTATTTTCTGATAAATTTGTTTCCTTTTTTCTATTCAACTCATCTGGAACCTTCAAATGTGAACAGCACAGCTGATGTAGTCTGGTCACCTGGACCAAGGTTCGAATATGTAGACAGATCTTTATTTCAACTCTGTGATCGTGCACAGAAAGAAACTCAATGACTATAATTTCAAAATGCAAGACTGTAGCCAGCTACAAGTCAATTTGAAAAACAACGATCTATATGATATAGAAACCACTTTTTCTGTAGCCACAGTCATCCTCACACCAGGCGCCTCCAAAAGAACCTTTCCCTGAAGGTGACGCAGAGGAATTAAAGACCACATCCCTGCCCTTTTACGTAATTAAACTCAAAGGACTGTTCACATTAGCTGCAAAGTTCAAGCTTGTTTTCTTTTGTCACCAAAGAAACATTTACCTGGAAGTTCATGTAAAGCTTTTATTTATGTAGTAAACAGGGTATAAAAAGATTTAAGTGGTATTTTTTATCATTATAACAAAAAACAGACTCTCATATTACTCATCATAACCACTGTCTTTATCTCCACGACCATGTCCCACTGCTATCAGTGTAGAATAGCATCGTGCAGTATGTTTCCCCACTTCATGGCACTTGGACAGATGTGTGTCTCGTCTCCTGTTGGAGACATCCTGTTCTTAATGTCTTCCTGTGTAGATGTGTGTCTTGTCTCCTGTTGGTGGACATCCTGTTCTTAATGTCTTCCTGTGGAAGATAAAGGGATGCATGAGCTGAGAGATATGAGATTTGTACATGAGATAAAGCGTAATTAGTTCATGGACAGTTGTTAAACCACAAGATGCTTATTATAAAAGTCTTGCCTTTTGCAGTGATTACACAGTAGACTGCAAAAGCGAGTGTCTGTCTTTATAAAATTCTTTTGTGCTTTGCGTCCTACATGCAATGTGAAATTTACATAAGGAATTGATCTTGAATAATCCTGATGTACATGCTGCACGCTCTGTTTGAACTGACAAGGCTATTATCTCTGAGACGCCTTTCAAATGGGGATAATTGCTCTTACTGCCAGTAGAGAAAATCAAGACTTATCTGTACGCTGTTAACATCTGCACAGCAATAAATTGATTTGTGCTTACTAAAGCAGGATGAGGTCCTGTACTGTCTCTAGAAGATAAAAGTACAGTGTAGAGATAGCTAGATGTTCATGCAAGGACTGGAGGCAATGTATGTGGCTTTTAATGACAGATCTCAGGGTCTTTATGACCTGGTTTAATGCACTAATAGGCCTCACAAATTGGAATGCCCTCCTGAAATAGATGGAAACCTCATGCAAGATATGAAACAGAAATAACTTTCAGCAAGCGCTACAGCAGTCAGGTTATTTTCTGGTTGCTCTGCTGTGAACCCAGTTAGCATGACACTGAGTAAAGACCCAGCAGATGCCGCTGAAAACTTCAGTGAGGCTCCACCAACTGGGCCTCTGGGTAGCTGCACTGATACATATACACACAAATCATCTCTCTCACAGAGTCTCTGCTGGAGTTAATGATGACAGCTCAGCAGATCGCCCAGTGACTAAGTGTGCTTGATAAAGGTCAGTGCTGCCACCAGCTAATGCTTCATCGCTCAGAGTAATACTTTAGCCGAGCGTATTGTGAATACTCTGCACATGAACGCTTCACAGGGCAAAATAATCAAGAGAGTAGAATCTGGAAAGGCCAGCTGTTTCTGTTGTGCTTCTGTGTGGCAGACACTGATGCAACACACACACATACTGTACACTCTGATACATGTGTTTCCCAAACCTCTCCAAACACAGGTTCAGTGACTAACAGCTAGACAGTCAGAGAATGGCTGCAGCATATATATTCAACAAAATGGAATGATCTCTTAAGTGTGTGTGTGTGTGTGTGTGTAGGGGGTGATAACTGAGAACTAACACTTTGTTTTTGCTTTGGCAATCCGTGGGGCACCCATGGAGAACTAAAACCTTTCCATGTCAGCCTGCACTGAACATTTTCATTATTTATGTTTCTGCATCATTTACATTTGTAACAATAAACTTGTCATAAAATCAATAGTCCCATACCAAGATAGGATATTGAATATGAAGATCGATTGTTACCACACACTTTACTCGGTATTCATGGTAATAAAGTTTATAGGTACCCTCCAGATATGCTTTACGACAGGGGTTTTCAACTGATTAATGTCCAGGGACCAGCACTCTGACCAAGAGGCAACTTGAGGATCACTGTTGTGGGGTGGCCAGACCGAACGGGCATTATTTTAATCCTGAAAATCACCTTGGCTTTTATAAATGTTATATGAATGCAAAATGTGATTAGTCACAAACAATAATTAATACATGGAAATTTGTAAATTAAATAAATAGTGATGCCCACAGTGAAACAAAATCACTGAATACATGATCAAACTAGCTCCAGCTTTACCAGCTGCAACATTAAAATGATGAACACAATCATGCATCAACAATTATAATCTAATCATATGATAAACATTAATGTGAAATGTGCCATTCTGCATAATGAGCACTTTTAGTACTTAAAGATGTGTTTTGATGCTCATACACTGGTACTTTTAAGTAACATTTTGAATGCGGGACTTTTACTTGTAGCAGAACAGTTTTATAAGCAATCGCTCTTTTGTGTGGAGGGGGTCTGCAATGAATCTGTAGCCAGGGAGTTCATGTGTGTGGAGGGGGTCTGTAATGAATCTGTAGCCAGGGAGTTCATGTGTGTGGAGGGGGTCTGTAATGAATCTGTAGCCAGGGAGTTCATGTGTGTGAACGCACCTGTAAAAACCTTTGCGGATACTTTCAAGGTTCAGTAAGTGAAGCCACGTGAGTATCTTTATGGGCCGGACTAACACCTTGAAGAGCTGCACACAGGTTTGGTGCCATTTCACCTCTCAACACATCAGTCCCCTGAAGACGAATGGAGCCCATTGAGGATGCTGCTGTGTCCTCTGTGCGTGTGAGCAGCAGCGCCCTCAGTTCCGCGCGCACCCTCGAGTTGAGGATGAAGACACAGAACATCAGGACCCTCTCGCTCGTCCTGTCTATTGTTTTCTACCTGCTTATAGGAGCCACCGTCTTTAACGCACTAGAGTCGGAAAGTGAGAGTTCAAGGACAGGAGCACTGGGGCAGAAACTGAACGAGTTGGGGGAAAAGTATGGCTTCACCGAGGATGACTACCGGGAGATCGAGAAAGTGGTGCTCCTGTACGAGCCGCACCGAGCCGGGAGGCAGTGGAAGTTCGCCGGTTCTTTTTACTTTGCCATCACTGTTATCACCACGATTGGCAAGTAAATAGTTTCTCCATACGTGTTTGTCATCCGAAACACAGGGTACGAGGTAGTCCTATTTTTACGTACCTGCGCCTGTGGCGTGTTTTTTTGGCTCTCTATGGTGTAAAACGGGGTCACAGGGCCCCCAGCTGGAAGGGCCACTGTACAGGGCTGTGGTGCAGTGTGAGGTACTGTGAACCTGGGGGCAAATGGGGTGAAGTTTGCCTTCGCGATTTAACGATCTCCTCTGACCAGCACCTTGGCACCCACAAACTAACTAAACGACTGGTGTTTTGACAGAATTAAACAGATATTCCACCAAAAACAAGACAAAATAAAACAAAACAAGAAGAAGAACAAAAACCTCCCATGGAGTATTTACTCCTCTGCTTTTCATCCTGTACATATATATGGTATATGTTCAAAATATGGCAAATGCACTCCCTCTTGCAGGACCCTTTGACTTGGGGGCAGGCATGTGTGACAGTGTTGTTGTAGTTTACATTAACTTTCCAGTGTAAACATGTCAGCATCCTCTGTGAAGACTGAAATGGAAGAGGCCTATTTAACATTGCTGCTATTTAGCATTATTTTGATGAAAATATTTAAGGAGAGTAGAGAAGTGCGTTACAGCCGGCTATTGGCGTGCTGAAGTTTGAAAAGGTTCTGTGAATTTTGTCCTTCACCAACCACAGCCCTGCTCTTATGTAGATTTAATTAATACATCTAAATGCAATTTTGATTTGTGCTGATACAAAACAACATCTTTGTGGTACAACAGCAGCTGAATTGCCTTTTGAAATACAGTAGCTGGCAAAAAATGAAACCAATAAAGCACAATAAAATTTTCCATATCAAACCTGTTAACATTCAACATGTTCATTGAAGTGTTTCAAAGTTACTGCTGGTCACTGATGGCAATATTTAGATGGATATTAACTGAGAGCCAAAGGAATACAACAAACTGGACTGGAGGAATCAGGGCAAAGGAAAACTTGAAGGCTGTGTTTCCCTCTCTTCTCCTTCAGATGATCAAGACTTTGTGATCTTGCGTTGTGTTGTATTTGCACAGCAGCAAATATTTGGAGAATGGAAATATAATGTGTCTGTATCTTATGGTGGAAGAGGTTACACCTTCAGTTTGGCCACCTTCTGAACAGAGGTCTACTTAGCTGGAATAAGTGAAAACACAGATGCAGGACCTGTAATGTTAAGAAGCTGAACTGTTATTATGTTTTCATACAGCTGAGTAGTGCAATACACGTTATTATGTATTTCTCAGTACTCTTGTATTGTGTTTGTAGGTCTGTATTCTCTGTTGTTTTGTCACAAAGAGCAGCTAAAGTACCCACATTTCAGTCTGCTGGTTGTACTCATGGTTTAAGCTGCATGTGCTTGAGATGTTAACGTAAAGAGCTGAGATTTGACTTGGGCTTAGAGCAGGTGACAAGTGAGCACCATTTATAGATTTCTAGAAAATAAACAGTAGTAGAAGACATTGAGTGACCTGCATTGTACTGTGGCTTTGCAGGTTATGGCCATGTTGCTCCTCGCACGGATGCTGGCAAGACCTTCTGCATGCTTTATGCAGTCTTGGGCATTCCTCTGACACTGATCATGTTCCAGAGCCTGGGCGAGAGAATCAACGCCTTTGTCCGCTACCTCCTGCGCCGAGCCAAGCAGGGCCTGGGCTTACAGAGGACAGAGGTGTCCATGGGGAACATGGTCCTGGTAGGTCTGCTGTCCTGCATGAGCACTCTGTGCATCGGGGCTCTGACCTTCTCCCAGTTTGAGGACTGGACCTTCTTCAACGCCTACTACTTCTGCTTCATCACGCTCACCACCATCGGCTTTGGGGATTTTGTGGCTCTGCAGAAGAAAGATGCTCTGGGGGAGCAACCCCCTTATGTGGCTTTCAGCTTCATGTACATTTTGGTTGGGCTAACAGTTATTGGAGCTTTTCTCAATCTGGTGGTGTTGAGGTTTCTCACTGTGAGCTCAGATGAGCCTGATGTGAGGCCCGAGGCAGGAGGGGAGGAGCAGGGACCACGGTCTAAGGACACACAGGAAGACAGGGATATGTTGAACACTGAAGCAGAAACTGCTGAGCTGGGGTACAAAGACAGAGAAGCAGGACAAAATAGACATCACAACCTGCCAATGGAGGGCAGCACCAGCTCCATGGACCTCCTCCCTTCTGCAGAGGAGCGCAAGCTTATATCTGAGCAGAGAGAGCACTCTGAGCTCCCTGCTCCCAACAGACTCACCGCCTTGTTCTCCCGCATCTGCTGTGGCCCGTACATCTATGACAGCCCCCCTACATCTTATTGTGATGAGGACTGCGGCCACAGCAACCCCATCTTCTACAATTCCATCTCCTACAGGGTGGAGCGGGCCTTGTGCAGCTCCTGCACAGTGTCGTCACAGGTCTCTCCCAGCAGTGCAGCTCTGTGCCTGGACAAGGACAATCCTCACACCCGAAGGAAATCAATCTAACTCTGTGAACTCTTGACTCAGATTCTAAGTGGCTTTTGTTTACCTTTTTTCTCACCACAGAACAGATAAAACCCAGATTTTCTGCTTGGTGGAACAAATTTCCCTGTGCTATACTAGTCATGAATGTAGCATTTCTTGTTATCAGATAAAATATAGCATATCATAAAAATTCTACAGTTTATAATGTATTTTTTTACATTAAACATTACAGCTAAACTAAAAATCTTAAAACAAATATAAATTATGTGATATCTGTAAACTCATGTTTTTCACCATGTCAGTCAGCGGAAAGTGCAGCACATGCATCTGAGAAAGGTGGAGTCACCTGTGTGAATATTTTAGATGTCAGACTTGCTGCGGTGTTGTCACCCGTGACCTTCAGTTATTTCCAGTCAGTAATCATGGCTGTCTTCTAATAGGAACATACACTCTGTTGCTCTGACTGGTTCCCTAGGTAACAATTTCATCCCTATTGCTTAGTGCAGTGGAAAACTGGAGGCGGACACGTTCAGTACAGTGAGCGGTGAGCCCCAGTTAAAACTGTGATTTCCAGACCGTGTCCTCTGTGTAAAATAGTGGAAAATTAGAAATGTCTCCAAATGAGTGTTTAATTGCATTCTCAGATGTGCGGTTGTCTCACATGATGCTATTATTCAAATTAGATTGGTAAAACAAGGCACTAATATGAGGAAATGTTGCTTTATTCACACTTTAAAAATATTTAAAATAAAAAAGTGTTATCTTTATGTAACCTTCTATAGGGCACTCACTGAAATACTTAGAAATTCAAAGTTTCAACCCTAGACCATTATTGGAAGATATTATTTTTTGGACTTTAAAAAAATCATTGTCATGTTACAAATCATGGTCAGTATATATATTTATATATAGTCATTGACAGAAAATATTGCCCCCCCCCCACCACTTCTCCCAGAAAATTGTTGCAGTCACAAATTCTTTGGTATTCTCATGTTTATTTCTTTTGTTTGCATTGGAACAACAAAAAAAACAGGGGAAAAAAGCCACAGAACTCCAAAAATAGACTGGACAGAATTATTGACACAATCAGCTTAATATTTGGTAGCACACTCTTTGGACAAAATAACTGAAATCAGTTGCTTCTTGTAAACATCAGTGAGTTTCTTCCACCTCTCTACTGGAATTTTGGACCACTCTTCTTGTGCCAACTCCAGGTCTCTGATTTGAAGGGTTCCTTCTTCCAGCTGCTGTTTGAGATCTCTCCACAGGGGCTCTATGGGATTTAGACTTGGATTCATTGCCGGCCACTTCTGATCTCCCCAGCACATTGTCTGAAACCATTTCTGGTGCTTTTTAAGATAAGATAATCCTTGATTGTCATTGTAACAATGAAAATTTAAAGTGATCTTCAGTCGGTACAGGCATAAAAAACATAACATGTAAAATAAAAATATATGAAAACATAACAGCTAAAAACAAAATAATCAACAGACCCTTTGAGGCATATTACATTTTAGCAGCATTGAGGGTGGTAACTGCTGTTGGGTAAAAACTATTCCTGAATCTAGTGGCCCTTGATTTGATTGCTCTAAACCGTCTACCTGATGGCAGCAGTTCAAAGAGTGAACGTCCTGGGTGTGATGTGTCCTTAATGATGTTTTGGGCTTTTTTGAGGCAGTGGGAACTGTGTAGTTCTTCCAGAGTGAGCAGAGGGCAGCTGGCGATCTCCTGGGCCACATTAATGACCCTGTGGAGTGTTTTCCTCTGAGCCACTGTGCTGCTGCTGTACCATACACATATACAGTATGTTAGGATGCTCTCAGTGGAGCACCGATAGAAGGACACCAGTGGTCTCTGGGAGATGTTGTTCTTCCTGAGCACCTGTAGGAAGTACAGTCTCTGCTGGACCCTTTTAAGCAGTCCAGAGGTATTCATGCCCCAGGTCAGATCCTCCCAGAAAGCGCAAGACCGGCACCCTCTCCACAGGGTCCCCGCTGATATACAGTGGCAAGATGTCGTTTTTTTTCCTCCTGAAGTTGACAATGACCTCCTTAGTCTTTGAGGTATTAAGGAGCAGATTGTTCTCTCTGCACCACACTATCAGTATCTCCGCCTCATCCCTGTAGGGAGTCTCATTCCCTCAGAGAAAAGCCCCACCACCGTGGTGTCATCAGCAAATCTTACAACGGTATTGCCGTGGTAGGCGAGGGGGCAGTCGTGGGGGTGCGGAGGAT